GGAATAGCTGTGAAAGGATTCCTGACAAGCTGGTTTTATCATGCACTATTTCATCCTTTACTTCGAGAGAACTACTTTAAGATTCAAACCTCTCCACAGGGAATTTCACACGTCCAAATGAATGATGTGGACTGCTGGGCTGCATAACTGTCATGCTCAGAGATGTAAATTCTACTCTGAATTTTTCCTTATTTGTTTGATCTCAGTTATTCTTCACAAATAGCTTGAAGACTGAGACTTCTATGAACCACTTTTTTTCTTTTCTTAGCACCCTGTCAGATACAGATTGAGTGGACAGAGGCTGACAGGGTTTTTTTGATGACATCGTCTCTTTTTTCTATATTATGATGTTTGTATTCCTTTCTGTGATACAACAAAACTCTGTTAAGGCACTGGTCAAGAATGTGAAAGATCCAGGATAAAAGACCTGATTTTGATTTAATAGTGAAAAGTTCTTTTTCAGGTCTGTTGAAGGAGGGATTTTGCCCTGGATTGCCCTATAACTGGACGGTACTGGGTGAGATAATATTTCACTCTTCATCCCTTCCGTATTTAAAATAAATACACAACAACAAACAAAGGCAAAACATTTACAATTATTAGGTCACTAGTAAATACCAAATTCCCTCCAAAACCATTTGGTAGTGGTTTTTCCAAGTACTCTGGCTGCTCAGGGAAGACCTTGTCTAGACCTGGTGTACACACCCGCTCCCGCGGCTGACAGTGGAGTTCTGCCTCCAGCAGTGCTTTTGCTGGCTATGGGGGGAGCAGCCAAAAAAGTACTTCTCACTCTAGGCCACGGAGCCAGAAAGAGTACAAGGAATAGCCTGTGTGCCTCTTGTTTTGATAGGCATAGACATTGCCTGAGGATTTATTAAAATATTTGGTAAATGGAGAGAAATAAATAGGGAGAGAAAAGTTACAAATGGTTTTATCGTCCCAGGTTATATAGGAAAACATTAAATGGTGAGTTTTTAAGTGGCTGACATTTTGTGTTAACCATCTCGGACTAAGTTGGTATTTGCTCTGTGGCTGAGAATAGATGCCAATTATAAGCTGTCTGCGAGCTCTGCAGACCGTGGTCACGGATAGCAGATTATGTCATGAGCCTGCTCCAGCAATAAATAGAATTGTCTTGTTTTCATGGCACCATAGTACAGATCTCCTGGTGTTGAGCTGCTGCCTCCCTGTCCTCTTTTCCTTCGCCTTTTTTCTGTATCTCTGCGTAGTGCAGAACAAGCTGCTCAGCGGCTGCAGAAGGTGCGATGCTGTGCGCTGATGACTTCACCTTATTCGGCGTAGGTTGTGGTTAAAGAGACTGGAAAGAAAAACAAGAGGGCATTTTTAGCTTGTTTTCAAATTTTAGGCTTCATGATCTGTATGAGCAGTATTATGTGATACACACGCTAGCTGGAAAAAAGTGGAGTTTCTCCAATTTTGATCCCACAATTGCGTGTGTGTGGAAATTGTCCCACAGTTTCTCTGCGGGACATGGGAAAACAGGAAAAAAAAAAGGTATTTGTTCTACCTTCGTTTTCAGGTTTATTTCATTTATAGTTGCTGGCTTTCAAGAAAAAAAACAAACCTGTTATTGCACCATGTTAGGTCCACATAGAATTTACAAGTGAATTACAATTTGCAGCTTGGCTGTGGGAAGGTAGTCATGGACATGATGCTTTCCAGTATTGATACTGCATGTTGCACAAGACCTTTGTATGTGAAATTTGAGCTTGGGGCTCATGGTTGCCGTAAGCAGGAGTTTTGCTTCCTATTTAGTGTTAGTGATTTGATTTGTTTATAAATGCAAACCACACAATCACTGTACTATAAGCAAAACTTGCAGAAGGATGGCTCCCAGATTTACCCCTAGTCCTTTACTAAAAAAAAAAAAAGCTTTTGCAGATAATTGCAAAGGAAAATATTTCTTACTCAAGAAAAGTTGTATCTGCATATGTACTTTCGTGTGTGTGTATCACATAAAATTTGTACCACTACATTAGCTGAAATATTTCTTCGTAAGAAAAATCGGGTTTGAACTTAAATACTCCCTTATGCTGTAATACAGCAGTTGGAGTGCTAAGCTGCTGTTTGCTCTCAGAAAGCAATATATAGGCTTTTACAAAACTGCGGTCTCCTGTGGTGCTCAGGTGAACATGCACATGTCAATCTGAATTAGATTCAGGTAATTAATTTACAATTTAAATACTGCAATATTGCCAAGTCTCACTTTGATACTATCCAATGTATATCTATTTTACAAGTGATAAATGTCAGCACCCCTAATAAATACCTATTTTGAAAGAGCCTTTTGTGCAGACTCCTTTCCAAATGTAGTCTACAGGGTTCTCTGTTGCTATTTTTTTTTTTTTCAAGCTAACAAAATAGTGCTTAGTAACAATGGTCAGTGTGTTAGTTTATACAGAAATAAAAAGCTCTTGAGGTTAAAAGTGAGTAATAAGGGAAAGCTCAAGGGTCTCTTGACTTCTTCAGAGTCAAACTTTTCTGAAAAGTGTAAATGGAAGAGAATTGTTAGGCATGTTTTTCAGCTGATCTGTGGGTATTTGTCTTTAATTTATGCAGTACATTTTCAGTTGTACGAGTTGTATGGTTCTCAAATCAGAGAACAATTTTTAACAGAAATGTTAAAACCTAGGTCTGTTAGAATTATCGAAAAGGTGAAAAATGGTTTGAAGCAGTGGTGCTGGCTAGTAGACAAACTTTCAATAGATAGTAACTGTTAGTGTCACAGTTGGGTTTTTCCCACTTTTTCTGATGCTGACAAGATAATAAAAATGCTTTCTCTTTTATACTTCTGTTTGTGGAGGTGGTCCTTAAGCTGTTTATTTCTTATAAATGCCAAAGTTTAAGCATGTTTCATGCTGAACAGTTAAGGACAGTTAAGTACAATGGTACAAGATGTTAGAACCATAGCCTCTAATCTGCTATGATTTTTGTCTCTGAAGCTTAAAATAGTTCATAAGGAGGTGGAGAGAAGGTAAAGGTGAAATAAACATTGCAGTTTTTCATACTTACTATAAACTCCGCAGTTTCTAACAGTGATAACACCTTCCAAACAACCTTGGATTACTGTTTCCAGTCATCAAGCAACTGTTCAGAGTGTTTTTTCTGTACCATATTTGTACATATATGTGTATCTATATACATGCTATATTGTATGTGTGCATATATGGATGAAGTGAAATTCAAAGTTCAGAGTCTCAACTTAGACAAAAATCATACTGAGTTCAGATACACAGTTTGGCAAACCGTTGCCCATCAGTGCTGAAGATCGTAGCCATGTGACAGCATTGGTAGTTAAGATGGAGAAAGGTATGGGGCGGGTGATTTGTTCCAGTTCCAAGGAAGGAAAGCAGAATTTATGAGCAAACACCTTATTTTCCCCTCGGAGGAACAGGTATTATTTTTGTATTCTTAAATAAGTGTAGCAGAACTGGCTTTACATTTGTATTAAATTGAGTTTGTTCTATCACAGAATCACTAAGGTTGGAAAGGACCTTCAAGATCATCAAGTCCAACCATTAATCCAACACCACCATGTCCCCTAAACCATGTCCTGAAGAGCCACATTCACACGTTTCTTGAACACTTCCAGAGATGGTGACTCCACCACCTCCCTGGGCAGCCTGTTCCAATGCCTGACCACTCTCTCAGTGAAGAAATTTTTCCTAATACCCAATCTAAACCTCCCCTGGTGCAACTTGAGGCCATTTCCTCTCATCCTATCACTAGTTACTTGGGAGAAGAGACCAACACCCACCTCACCACAACCCCCTTTCAGGTAGTTGTAGAGAGCGATAAGGTCTCCCCTCTCCCCCTCCGCCTCCTCTTCTCCAGACTGAACAACCCCAGTTCCCTCAGCCGCTCCACCAGCTTCGCTGCCCTTCTCTGGACACGCTCCAGCACCTCAGCGTCCTTCTTGTACTGAGGGGATATGTGGGTATGTACCAACCCCTTGGTAGCTTTTAACATGGGTAAACAGCAATTTTGCACAAGTGGAGAGCGGAGGCACATAGCTGGAGCTCAGTGTATCCCACATTTTGTGAGAACATCAGGGAAGTTGTCTGTGCTCCTATTCGCGGCATTTTGGCAAGATCCGCAAGATACGATTTCTGCACGTTAGGTCACATCTATAGCAGAAATGCTTTAGCCTCCTAGGACACTTGCATGCTTGACTGGCAAAGCAGAGGCAGCTGTTCTGCACAGCTGTGTCCCGCACCGGCCGCGCTGCCAGCGCTGCTTTACTGCTCGGCTTCAGCGGCGGCGGCTTCCCGGGCGCCTGGGCTGGGGGACTCGGCTCCTTCACGGCACTCGCCGATGCCGACTTCAGTGGCCAGAGGTCTGTAACACAGACCTTGCTGTTGTCTCGGCAGCGTGTCCCGGGCCTCGTCTACACCGAGCTAGTTAGTACTTCGGAGTTTTTTCTCTGTTTCTCCCCTGTTTAACCATTATGTTAACCCTGTGCTTTCCACTACTCAGTGCCATGGGAGCGTTTGTCCTGATTTCTGTTAAAGATATCTGGTATTCCTAGGTGGCTCGGCTAATGCTTCTGACTTTGCTTGGAAATGCAGGGAGTTAATCATGAAAAGGAAGGATGGGACATTTACTGTAAAGGTGCTAGCCACGAGACCAATAAATTTTGTTTCTCTAGCGTAATATAGAATTAACTTAAAAGTCTTGGGAGATGCTGAAGTTTTTAAATAGAGATGGAACCACATGGTATCAAGTGTGGTTAGTAGTTTTTTCTTCCGTATTTTCAGATGGCTGCTTTAAAGGTGATGAATGTTAGATATGCCGAAATACTTCATTCTGCCACTTTCAGAAAATGAAACTTCTGATTCTGTTTTGCTTATAGTACTTTCTGTGTTCCACAAAGATACCACCTACAGAAATGTTTACGTGGTAGAAAACCTGAGGTTTTACCAGGTTTGGAGCAATACTGGGGTCATGCAGTGTCCTTGATGTCGGCATAGAGCTCGCCTATGAGTGAGAACGGGCTTGCAGAGCAAGGCAGGGGATACGTAGGTTTTAAAAAGCGCTGTAGCGTCAGCAGCGACGCGCGAGGGATCCTGTGCGCAGTGACTGCAGAATGCCCCTTCAGGCCACGGGGGCCGGCATGGGCAGGTAAGGCGAAACAAGTAGAGCGGCTGCTGGAGCTCCAGGAGGTGGGTCCTGGGCATCCAGCGCATTTCCCCGCCTGCGGAGTGACTAAAGATGAGAAGGGATAGATCTCTGCTGGCACCATCTGTGACTCGCAGCCATTTCATGGCGTGCTCGTTGCAACGTGGGAGTATACTCAAGCTGGCGATTTTCAATGTAAAAGGGGCTGCGATACAAGGGCTAATGCAGAACTTTGAGTCAGTTCAGCTGCATAACAACAAATGGCATACATAGTTAAGAGTTGTATGAGGAGAGGGTGGCTTCTGCCTTATTCTCTGGCTGCACTCTACTAGATTATGCATCTTGAATGTTTTTTAATTGTCTAGAACAAAATAAAGTAATTGCAAAATTTTATTCGTTTAGAATACTGGTAAGGGTTTTTAATCTGGCAGTATCCCTCTGGATTTAGCCCAATTTCCTTCTGCATACCTTCTCTCCCAATTTATGAATATTTTATGCTCTTGGCATTATGACAGACTTCAGGTGAGAAGCTCTTTGAAGTCTTGTAAAACACTGTACTGGTGGTGGCCAACCTGAGTCTGTGGTGTCATTTACCATCTTTAGTTTCCAGTGGTCCCCAAAATACCTGATCAGCAGGTAAGTGATTCCCTGTTAGCAAGTCCTCTCTCAGCCTTATATGCAAACTTCTCTTTTAACAGGATTGCTAACAATGTAGCTTCATGTCACAGAAATGAGCGCTCATAATTCAGAAAAAGAACACGCTTATTTTCTCCATTTTGTGTGGACATGAAATGAATCGTAAGATGCAATATAGATGGAGAATTCCCAGCGCCATTCTGTCAGTGTTCATTGACTTACTTTTCTATTTTGAGAGATACTCCTTTCCCGTATTTGGTCAGTGCTGACCTCTCTCACAACAAATGAAATGTCCCCAGTTTGACTGTGGGATGATCTGGGAGATGTTTGGAATGATGAACTGTCGGCACTGCTGAGTCCTTGTCGGGGCACTCTCAACCCAGAAGCCAGCACCTAGTGACACCAGGCCTCTGACTTGCTCTTGCAGGTAGGCAGGAGGCATATGACTCCCGAATCCTTAAATCCTGGTTGCTGGAACTCCAGGGTATTGCTCAACACCACACATGAACCAGTTTCATTATCACTGGGGAACATTGGTAGTGTGTTGTATGCTGGCCTCGCTTAAGCTACTGTAAGTCTTCAGTAACGCAGAAATCTTAAACCTTGCATAAAACTTGAAAAGTTATGAAACTGGGATTGCAGTAAAATGCAGTGTCATGCTATACTTCATCTCAGATTGTTTCCATAATTGTCTGTTAGGATTCTTGGAAACTGGTAGGATGACCTGACAGCAAAATGCTACTTCCGAGAACTAAATCTTAAAAGTGGATCAGGAAGAAACATGCTTTAATTCTTTTTTTTTTATTAAAAAGATGATTAAGGTGATTGAAGTAATTTATGTATCTTATACATCGCTATACATTGTACTTTCTTGCTATTCAACATATAGTTATTGCTTTATCTTGAGCTGGTCACAGACACTGCACATAGCTCATTAATAGCCATATGTTTGTTAATTAGAGCACTTCGTTGAAACCACTCCCATCTTATTGATATACGTCTTCACAGAATCACGTCTCTACTATAACTGTCCCATTCAATTAGCCAGCAAACAAATAACTTTGCTTAAGCCATCAATGAGAAACCAGCTAAGGACTTGCAAGTTCCCGAGGTACGAGTAACGTACAAGTGGTCTTTCAGTATACGGAGCAGAATGGTTTATAGTATCTCTCTTGAATAGTTCAGTGCCTGATAACAGGTATCAAAACCTACCAAGTAATATTTTTAGAACTAGTATTTAGTATTTCAGAGACATTTTGTGGTATATGCATGAAATGAATATGAAAGGCTTGAACTGCTAAGCTACTAAACATTGTGATCATTGTGTGCTGAGTATCTGAGAATAATTTCCTTTTTACTCTATGTGAGATATGCCTGTACAAAAAAGTGATGAAGCTATACAACCCACACGGAAGCTGGATGATTTTGAATACAGTATCTGGCAGAGATAATGGTCTTAACTTTACTGAGGGGCTGCTTCCCCTAGATAGTAATTCAGACAGTTATTTCTGTCACAGCTGGCTGAATGGCAATATAATCTTCAGTGAAACTATTGTAATTCAAACAAGTCTGTATTGAAGAATTCGAGATGAAAAATGCATATCTGTGTTTGACATAAGGTCAAATAAAAGATGACAAAAACACGAGGAGAGAGGAATACTTCAGAAGATGTTAGACATTATAGAAAACGCAATGATCTGAGATGGTTTTAGTTTTGCCACTAAGCATTAACGCTATGTTAAAGGAAATGTGTATTACATTTTCCTAAAAACTGTAACACATGATTTGGGGTGAAGATGTCATTCTGAGAATGCATAGCTATGTTTCTTTGAGTTGAAATCTATATCCAAAAAGTACTTTGAACATGTTTTTCAGTGTCTTTCTCTACGCCTCTTTTTTACGAACAAGCAGTTAGTATCCCTCTTTCATACATTCCAGTCGATTAAAACTTGCTGCCTGGATTAAAGAATTGTTTCAAGAAACTGGACCGAATTTAATGAAGGCATTGCTTATCTTTTTCTTGTCTCTCCCATTACATTTGCACCTCTCTTTTTCCTCAACACAGCATCTGTGGTGTTTGCCTTATTAATTACTTTGTTTGGGGAAAGTTTACTTCTGTAAAGTTAATTCTGGTACCTTTCCTTTTGTGTGTGGTCTGCATATTGCACAAAGAGTCAGGTCAGGCTTTATTTTTATCCATATTTCTGAACTAGTTCACTCCTTTCTTCTTGATTTAGCCTTAAAATGGCAGTGTTCTCTTCCTACCTACCCCAAATAGATTTGTGAATACTTAATTGCCTTTGACCTAGTATATAGTAGCCCTTTAGAGAAGTATGCTACATAAAGCTAGGAATGTTCTATAGCCTACAGTAAAATGAAAGAAGTTTTCTTAAAAAAAAAAAAAAGAAGCACCAAGCCTCTGGCCAAGATAAATACCAGGAAAGGAAGAGGGTGTGTGTGTGGGTGTGTTTTTAAAAAAAAAAAAAAAAAAAAATCAATTCACCAAATACATCTTACATCTGTAGGCATATAAATGTGACCTGACTCTTGAGAGGATCATCTTCCTTGAAGAATGAGTGTCCATCATAGCGATGACCTCTTCATGATGGCAAAAGAGAGGGGTTACACCAAGAAGTATTTCTCTGATTACCCATAAAGGGCTTATTGGGCAGAAAAAGGTGAGAGAAGAAAGAGAAGACCACGATTATTAAGCAATCAGATTTTTTTTTTTTCCTGGAGCTCTTCATTCTGTTGGAGGAATGCATGAAGTTGGCCTGACTTAAAAACCTTAATAATCACTGTGATAGTTACCCTTGCCATTACACATACAATTAGGAGGCTGCTGACACAAGCTCACTCTTATTTTTCAGGCATCTTTGTAAAAGGCCAGTTGGGAAGTCTGGTTTTGTGTTTTTTTGTTTTTTTTTTTTTTTTTTTTTAATGCTGCAATGGTTGGTATCTATATTAGTCTGGCAAAATTACTTTTCCACGTGGCTGAGTAACGCAGAAAACTGTAATGGTTTCCCTATTTCTCTCTCTTTATTTCTCTGACGATGGTTATGTAGGCGCATTATGTGCATAGTGAATTTTAAGCAGTGCCTGAATGTGAAAGATTTTGGAACTGAAACAGTTGGGGACAGGAGCACACGTTACTGTTCCCTTGCAAGTGTTCTTGGAATAGCTGTCAAGGACAACGCACAGCTCCTTCTGGTGTCTGGCTTCGGTGGGGAAGATTTAATTTCAAGCATTCAAGAGCATGCTGCTTCAGTGAACAGTTTGGATTTTTACTGATGGCATTATCATTTGGTATGCATAAGTGGGATGTTTTAAGTGGGATCACTGTGAAGTTTCCTTGCTGGCTCATGACCGGTTGTTGCTAAGAGATGTTCACACGTATTTGCTGTGTGAGGGAGTTCATCTCTGTTATGTAGATTTTGATAGCACGATCCAGAAAATATGAATATGCTAATGATTGAGCAGTACAAAGTAGGGAAAAAACACGAAGCTGAAAGCTCTGGATTTTTTTTTTTAAAATAGAATTGAAATAGATTTTGTAATTGTGGCCTTTTTCTCTAAATGTTTCTAATGGTCTTCTGAAGCAGAGCTTTCTAAGCAGTGGGTGAGTTGATGCCGCGCAAACCCGAAATCACTACTGCATGAGAAGATGGCATCTGTAATGGCTGGTGGCGTGAGCCGTTGGTGCCGGTGTGAACGGGGCCCTCACAACAAATCATAGTTCCAGGCGTGGCTAATACCTATGTGTTTCGGTAGAAATTATCGCGTAGTTGGAGTGAGGGTAGGGTAGGGGTAGGGTTTCTTTTAACTAGGGCACGATGTTTATCAGTGGTAAAATCCATCTGAAGCCCTGCTACTTCAGTGAGCGCTGCCTCTGGCTTCCCGTGTTACTGCCTTTCTCGTCAGTGGGTAGCACTGGGTGGTGGTAGTAGTATCTAACCAGAGAAAAATTAAGAATTACTGGAGAAGAAAAATACAGCTTAGAAACTGTGGTGTTTTAATAGTGTTTGAAGTGAGAAGTGGATAAATAAGATGGTGCTATCCTTCTTTCCATGTTTTTCACCTAAAAAAAGAAAAAAAAAGTAAAGCTGTGATGGTGTTTTGGAAGGGTAAAATTTGTTTAAGCTTTAGATCTACCCAGTGAATGTCACAGTGCTGACATGAATTTCAACAGGGATTTCTGTATCCATGTAAATGGATAACATTTTCCCATGTTCTTCTATCAAAGATGAGTTGAAATGGTTTATTTGAATTGGATCTACCCTGCCTGAAAAAAGTTTACTGTGGTAGTAATGATAATTCTTCATAATAATAATTTTATCGTAATGAATAATGATTTTACTCTGGGGGTT